GTTCATGAACTTTCGTTCAATGAACGCGTTCAGGCACAACACTGTGGGTGCCTATCTCCTGCTGTCTACGGGCGAGAGGCGGGGTCCACCCTGGACAGGTCGACAGTCCATCGCAACCTTAAACCTCTATTCCAATTTGCATATTTTGAGAACTTGGAAACTGGAACAGACGGACGGTCCATACCAAAGGGGTGGACCCGTCCATCCATCCATTTTCTTACACGCTTGTCCCGAGTGGGGTCGTGAGGGGTGCTGGTGCCTATCTCCAGCAGTCAATGGGCGAGAGGCGGAGTATGGACTGGACTGGACAGGTCGCCAGTCCATCGCAGGGCAACACAGAGACAAACAGGACAAACGACCATTCAGGCACACACTCACACCTACGGACAATTTAGAGAAGCCAATCAACCGAACAGTCATGTTTTTGGACTGTGGGAGGAAGCCGGAGTACCCGGAGAGAACCCACACATGCTCAGGGAGAACATGCAAACTCCATGCAGAAAGACCCAGCGCTGGCAATTAAATCCAGAACCTTCTTGCTGCAAGAAGACTGACCCGTCCGTCCGTCCGTTCCAATTTGCAAGTTTTCTAACCAAAACCAGCCTTTGTTGGGCTGCTGTATAAATCCTGGAACTCAACGCTATTTCTGACTTTTTTAATTGAAAAAGCTTCCTAGATGGAAGAGAAACGTCTTTAAATTTGGAAACAAAGTCCAGTGGATGGTTTTAAAATGTTCCTTTTTTGGAATGACTATGATCTCCATAGTGCAGACTGGTACATTTATCACTGTTATTAAGAATGAATGTTACCAGGAGTTCATCATTTCCCTTTTGCGTTACCAACGCTGAATAGCTTTTATAATCCTTTTAAATAGGATATAACTGAACGTTCTGCTGCATTTGCCACCATATTATTCTGCACTGCACTGAACTTTTTCATATAAATCCTTTTTTGCATCATTATTTGAAACGTTTTCTCCTGCATTGTTACATTCTGATCGCTGCTGCACTTTATATTGCAATGTTATAAAATGCCAACTGCAATCTCCTTGCACTGCCGTAAGCTGTATGCAACGAAAATTCATAATGTATTCACTCTGCACAAGTTTGTCTGAGTCTAAGTCTTTTTATTTCCTGATGAAAAGAGTAAAGAACTTTCTAGTTTTCCAGTTTTTCATCAGCTGACAAACAGCAGTAATACCTCGGATTTGTTTTGCAGTGAAAGTCCTGTTCATGTTCTATTTGCTTCTGGTGTAATTGCCATTATTGTGCCTATTAGGCTGCAGTGAAACATTCATACTTGCCCTCTTGGCTTTCGCCTGGGAGATTCAGAAGACGGAGGGAATGAAGCCGAGCCTCCAATAAAATCCCCCAGACAGCTGCTGAAACGCCGTTCTGAGTAGCTCCATTTCTGAGGTTATTTTCATTTGGGCCTGAGGCGAGCATTTTGTCTTATTTATGTTAAATTAGATCCAAGCTAGATGGGCGTCCCTATTTACCCCAAATACGCTGCCTTTATTGGCTCAGATTTCGACAAATAAATGATTTAAGGTCGAAATGACCCAGAGAGGCACAATAATGGCGGGTAGAAAGCATGTGAAGAATAAAAACATAAAGAAGTCACAATGAAATCTGATAATATTGAAAAGGAGCTGGATGGCTGACCTCGATGGTGAACTCATTGCTGGTGTAGCGTCCGTTGAGCTCTGAGCAGGTCAGGCGAAACCTCCTCTCCGATAGCTGTCCAGGCTGCAGGTGGTAGTAATGCACCTGTCTGATCACCTGCTCGTAGTTCGTCATGGAGTCCACGCCTGAGGACGGGGGAGGGGGGGGTGTTACTCTTCTATACATCCAGCAGATGTGCTGCTTTGGTGTTACTGTTGGTTGCCTACCATATATGGAGATGCCAGATGTGGAGTTGGTGGCGTCGAGATGCTTTCCCAGAAGCGCACTTAGCTGCAGCTGAAGAGATTCTTGCTTTGGGTTTAGCTCCGCCCCCAACACAAGAATGTCACAGTAGTCCAAGTTGTGAATGATTTCCTCCAGGACACCAGGTTGATGAGCTGCACGAACAAAGACACCAACATCACTATGAAACACAGCTTTATGACTGAGAGGCTGGGGGCCATCAGGAATTTGGGGCCCCATGAAACACATTGACATTGTGCCCTCAACTCTGCTGCTTATTTACACATTTTCTTGATAATTTGTTTCTTTCGTTACCACTACGTGGCATTTAAAGTCGTAGAGAAGCGGCTGTTCCAACGGTTGCATTTCTGAATTCTCCCGAGTGGTGCACGACTTTATACGAGTGAATAAAGTTAATGTGATTGGTCGTTTATCAAGGGGGCGGGATTGTTGAGGCGGAAGGTTCGCTAGCAAGTTTGATTGTAGCCGGTTTGTCGGAAGCATCTCGCTAACAACT